TGATGTGGGGTGCAGGTGTCCCCAACAGCAGCCTAACCCACTGTGCCTCAACACCCGCCCCAGGGGAGAGTTTTTAGGAGGGGCATCCCATGGCCTCATTTCCATATTTTAGAGAGAGTGACAGCAGTGTGGGAGGGAGATTTAGGATTTGTGGTGGAGGCGGGGCCAGTAGTGGGTATGCAGGGCCAGAGCAAAGGGCGTGGGGGACAGGGAGAGAGAGGCTGCGCCCAGGCTTGGGGCTCAGGCAACTGTAGGAATTTTGGTGCCAGGCCCCTTCGCTACTGTTCTGGTCAAACTGCAAGGGAACCAGACCTCAGAATTCAAGATCTGCTTTCACCACGCGAAAGGCGTTGCTGAGGCCACTGAATGGATGAGTTTGGAGCCCAGGCTGGAGGTTAGGGGGCCAGGCTTGCCTTGAACCAAATGTGTCACCTGGAGGCCACCTGTCTCCCATCCTAGCCACCCCCTCCCAAGCTGTGCCCTGTCCCAGCCTTCCCAGAGCCCACCATGACTGTGGTCTAGACTCTGCCTTGAAGAACGCGCGTGATGATTTTGTTTTTCACTTTGAATCTCGGTTGAGCTCCTTTTGTATGTGTCACTCTTTCCTTAGAAGGCCATGATTGGCTGGTGCCACGGCTCGCTAGGCTAATCCTCCACCTTGTGGCGCCGGCACACTGGGTTCTAGTCCCGGTCGGGGCACCGGATTCTGTCCCTGTTGCCCCTCTTCCAGGCCAGCTCTCGGCTATGGCCAGAGAGTGCAGTGGAGGATGGCCCAAGTGCTTGGGCCCTGCACCCCATGGGAGACCAGGAGAAGCACCTGGCTCCTGCCATTGGATCAGCGCGGTGCGCCAGCTGCAGCGCACCGGCCGCGGCGGCCATTGGAGGGTGAACCAACGGCAAAAGGAAGACCTTTCGCTCTGTCTCTTTCTCTCACTGTCCACTCTGCCTGTCAATAAAAAAAAAAAAAAAAAAAGGAAGAAGAAAGGCCATGGATCACTTGTTCCCAACCTGGCAGGTGTCTTGTGGTGCCTTTACTACCCTCCCTTTACATGGCCCAATACCACCGCTTTCAATAATGTTAATTGTGGCCCTTAAAACAACGTAACATAAGGGGTATTTAAGAACTAACGGTGGTTTCTTCCCTGGGAACCTTCTTTCAACTTTGGCTAATTGTTTTCCCAAAGTTCCACCCCCACAAATGGGCAGGATGGAGGTTTCCGGGTCAGAATTCCATTATGTGACTGTGACATGGACTTTGGCCATTTCCAAATTGGTGAGCATTTAGGTGATTACAAGTTTTTCTGGAATGAAAAAAAAATGCTGACATGATCATCTTTGTTGCAAGGAAAATTTTCCAAACATGATTCTTATAACAACGGTAAAACGAAAACGTGTCAAAAAATGTTTTTAATCCATTCGTTAGTGAGGAAGTAAGGTTAATTACAGCCAGTTCAAAGGAGAGTACAGAGAACAAACATACGCGTGTAGCAATCAGGAATGTTAACGTAAATTCACTAAGGAATGCCAAACTGCGCACTATCTGTAGGGCGGTGGAATGTAGCGCTTCAGTCATTTTTCTACCCACCGGGCTCAGTTGTGCCTCTGTCAGACTTAGCTGCTAGGTACAAGGTGCACGCAGGACGAAAGTAGAGCAGGGGAATAAATAAAGTGATAATGACAGCAGCTGAAGCAGAATTTAAGACAGAAGCATCCATCCAGGCAAAGATGCTTATTTTTTTATGAACAAGGAGCAGCCATGGTGGAGAGGAAGCGTTCTGGGGCACTTACAGGGTGAACAGCTTCACATCAATATATATGAAGAAAGCCCGTTTAAACCCCGTAGAGAAACTGATGGGAACACAATCGGAATGGCAGGCTTAACTCATTTTTCTCGAGATTTCACAGCTAAAGTGGTCAAAATAATTTATTAAATAGACATGCAGAGAAATCTGGATGTTCCAGAGTAGACACTATTTCAGAGGTGCATGGAAATTTTACATGGTTCAATCCTATCCTGAGCCATCATGAAAAACTCGGCATGGACCAAAAAGGTAAAATGCTACGAGTCACGTTCTCTGACCACAATAACAAAAGGGTGCATGAAATAAAGCACTCTTCCAGACAACGGCAGGTAAAAAAGGAGGGCACACATTCAGTGGTAAAATGTTTATATGACGCAGCTAAGAATCTTTTCAATGGAAAACTCCAAGTTGTGGAGCAGGGTCCCTCAGTCTCAGCAGATTGACATCTGGGGACAGTGGGTGGGGAGGGAGTCGCCCCGTGCGCTGTGGGAGGTCCGTAGTACCCCAGCTGTGAGAAGCACAAATATATTCAGACACCACCAATTGTCCCCTGCCTGGCCAGCTGGCTCCCGTGTGAACCCCTGCCCTGGAGGCCTCTGTTACTAATAAAGGAAATATGAAAATAAATTGTGTAGTTTGGAAAAGCTAGATAGAAAACCACGTGTGACACCTGACTTCTACCTTAATAGACAGGAAAGCATAATTCGGTTAAAAATGATCAAAGTTGTCAAGTTAATTTTTTTAATTGATGAGCAGTTAAAATCTAAACTATTGAAAAGAAAAAAATTAAAATCAGCCTACATTCACAATATTAAAATTTTGAATGAGGATTTAACTACAAAAGCCATATAGTAGATTAAAAATGTTATATTATCTCAGTTAAAATCTAGATGAAATGGGCCATTTCTTTAGATGTGTAGGTATGTGTGTGTGAGTGTGTATGTATGGAACATATACTTACAAATTTAAATATATACCATATAGTACATATTTAAATTACCAAAATATTTGCGAGAACTAGAAAGGAAAATAAACCTACCAGACATGGAAAATATTGCAAAAACAAAAGGTGCTGGGCTTCAGATGGTTTTGTGTCTGCCCTATACCATAATATAAGCACCGGCTTTGCACAAAGAAAACCCCAACAAATAAAACTAAGAGATCGGTTGAAACGGGCAAGCTTTTCAGAAATAAAGACATGTCAGGCTAAGTCAGACAAACCCACGCACAGGCCAGGGCAGCCGCGTTTGTGTCAGACTCTCCTGAAGTCAAAGCAAAAGTGAGACCAAGAGACTGAATACTTCATCATAATAAAAAGTTCCATCCAGAAGGAAGATGCAGTTTGTGGTCTTTCTTGTGTGCAATAAAAACCCACTTCAGATTCCCAAAACAAAAGCTGTACGTATTAAAGGGAGATTTTGATAGAAGCAGAAAAAGTTGCGGGAAGCCTGACAAGGTGCTGTCAGATACAGGAGGCAGCAGGTGAGAAGGGGCATAGCCCTGTCCCTTTGGGTCTTTGCAGGTGAGCGCTGTGGAATTTTTGTAAAATGTCATCACCGTTGGGTCCTGAAGAAAACTTAGCGAATTCTAGAAGGTGCAAAGAGTACCTTCTACGTTCTTCGATCACTTTTTTTTTTTGCCAGAGATTAGCAGCAACAGGAAAATAAACAACCAGTACTTCTCTCTCTCTCTCTCCCCATTCAAATAAATGAAATTAAATAAAAATAAAATTAAAAAATTGAAAACCTATTAACTTGCCTAATGAAGAAAAAGTGAGGAAAACACAGATATGTAGCATTAGATGGTAGACAATAACCCCAGATACAGAGGAAATAAAAATAATTAGGAGTCTACAAATCGCTGTGCCTTGCTGACCTGTGTGCATACGGATTACGCCTAGGTCAGATGTGCACACGGTTCTCAACGTGTGTCTGCTATGAGGAACGCTTATGTGTGTATGCCAGAAATAACCACTGAGAGACTCATAGGGAATAGAGTTAATAAGGAAATTATGGCTAAACTTTATCAATTGTATTTATTCAGTGTATTTAAGAAAAGCTTATTCAATATAGGGCTTAGCAAATGCCAGGTAGATTTGATCTGTAACAGCCGTAGAAGGTAGGGTTGATTACATCCAATTTTTTAAAAGATTTATTTATTTATTGGGAAGCAGAGTTAGAGAGGGAGAGACAGAGAGAGAGGTTTGTTCACCCCCCACCCCCCCCAAATGGCTGTAACAGCCAGGGCTGGGCCAATCCGAAACCAGGAGCCAGGAGCTTCTTCCAGGTCTTCCATGTGGGTGCAGGGGCCCAAGTACTTGGGTCATCTTCCGCTGCTTTCCCAGGCACATAAGGAAGGAGCTGGATCAGAAGCGGAGCAGCCAGGACTGGAACTGGTGCCCATATGGGATGCAGGCACTGCAGGCAAAGGCTGCACTTAGTATACCTCAGGGCCAACCCCACATTATATCCACATTTTACTAATGAATAAATGAGACACAGCGAGGGTAAGTAACTTGGCCAAGTCACCCAGCTGTTTAGGAACAGGACCAGGATTTGGCCGGCACCGTGGTTCAATAGGCTAATCCTCTGCCTGAGGCGCTGGCACCCCAGGTTCTAGTCCCGGTCAGGGCATCGGATTCTGTCCTGGTTTCTCCTTTTACTGTCCAGCTCTCTGCTGTGGCCCGGGAGTGCAGTGGAGGATGGCCCAAGTGCTTGGGCCCTGCACCCCATGGGAGACCAGGAGGAAGTACCTGGCTCCTGGCTTCCGATAGGTGCACTGCGCTGGCCGCAGCATGCCACCAGAGCGGCCATTGGGGGGGTAAACCAACGGAAAGGAAGACCTTTCTCTCTGTCTCTCTCTCTGTCACTGTCCACTCTGCCTGACCAAAAAAAAAAAAAGGATTCAAAACAGTCTGAAAACAGTCTGTGTGTACTTGTGTACTGATTGCTAGTATGCTGCCTGGCAAATCAGTGCAGAGGTTCGTCCCATTCCAGGGGCAAAACTGTGTATAATCAAATGAGCCGTTTGCAGCTGGCCTGAGCTCTGGCCCGGGCTGAGATGCCAACTGTCTTCCCAGGTGACCGTCAACGGAGTGGCAGTTGGTCACCATAGCTCCCCTGCAGGTGCACTGATCCTGCAGGGGTCAAGAAGGGGTAGAACTGTGTGATGACCCAGTGCCCTGTGCTCCGCTTGCAGATCCAGGAGATGGTGCACTCGGAGGTGGCGGCCTACGACGCGGGCCGGCCAGGGCCCCTGCTGGGCCGCCCTGCCATGCTGGCCAGCCACATGACTGCCCTCAGCCAGTCCCAGCTCATCTCGCAGATGGGCCTCCGGAGCGGCATTGCCCACAGCTCCCCCTCGCCCCCAGGGAGCAAGTCAGCCACGCCCTCACCCTCCAGTTCCACCCAGGAGGAGGAGTCAGAAGCTCACTTCAAGGTAGGCGGGGTGGGGCATGGCACCTGGAGTCAGCCCTCGTAGAGGAGCCAGGAAGGTGTCAGCTGGGAAAGAGTGACCCCAGGGCAAAGGGTCCTGGACGGCAGGACGCTGGACCGTCCCAGAGGTGATGGCTCAGTTGCCTGCAGAGCATCCGCCAGGTCCACCTGCCGCTCAGTATCCTGCTCGCGCCTCCTCTCCCTCCCATGGTGAAGTCAACGCCACAGCCCTGCTGGTTCTCACGCATGAGCTACACACACAGCCCGGGCTCCGACCCAGGGTGTGGGCATCTGTCCATACTCTGTGGGGCATGGAGCCTGACCCCACAGCCCAGCCCGGGTGCCTGTGTCTGGGACCGCGCGGTGGCCTGGTGTTGCCTGTGTGTTCTAGGAGCTAGACCAGCACACACCGGAGCTGCGGGAAAAGTCCAGCTCAGCCTCAGCCTGGGCCAGGGCCCCCTAGACAGCGGGCTCCGGGGCTTCCCTGGTTTTCTCTTTCTTTCTTTCTTTCTTTCTTTCTTTCTTTCTTTCTTTCTTTCTTTCTTTCTTTCTTTCTTTCTTTCTTTCTTTCCTTCCTTCCTTCCTTCCTTCCTTCCTTCCTTCCTTCCTTCCTTCTGTCTTTTTTCTTTCTTTTTTTTCTTTCTTTCCTTCCTTCCTTCCTTCCTTCCTTCCTTCCTTCCTTCCTTCATTCCTTCTTTCTTTCAATTTTTTTTTTTAAGATTTATTTATTGATTTACACAGAGAGAGGGAGACACACAGAAAAGAGGTCTTCCATCCTCTGGCTCACTTTCCAAATGGCCACAGCAGCAGCAGCAGTAGGAACAATAGGAGTAGCAGTAGGAGCATTTGAGACAGAGAGAGCTTCTTTCCACCAGTTCATTCCCAAATGCCCTCACTAGTCAAGGCCAGAGCAGACTGCGTCCAGGAACCGAGAAGTCCATGGAGGCCTCCCATGTTGGTGGCAGGGACTCAGGAACTTTAGCCTTTACCTGCTGCCTCCCGGGGTGTGCATTAGCGGGAAGCTGGAGCCAGGAGCAGAGCCGGGATTCGAACCCAGGCACTTGGGCCAAACACCCACGCTGTGTGGCTTTCTGCCCTCTCTCACCTGGGCAGCTCTCAGGAGAGAAGAGACCCTCTGCCGACCCAGGGAAAAAGGCCAAGAACCCCAAGAAGAAGAAGAAGAAAGACCCAAACGAGCCGCAGAAGCCCGTGTCAGCCTACGCGCTCTTCTTCAGGGACACCCAGGCCGCCATCAAGGGGCAGAACCCCAGCGCCACCTTCGGGGACGTGTCCAAAATCGTGGCCTCCATGTGGGACAGCTTGGGAGAGGAGCAGAAGCAGGTGAGCCAGGACCCCTTCCTGAGATGGCCCCTGAGGACCTATGTGCTTGGGGCCAAGGACAGACCTTGAAGGTCTGGACCCAGGCCTGGCCTCTGCAGCCAACGGCTCCTGCAGAGGGCCTCCCCGGGCTCAGCTCCCTGGCCAGCGCTGAGGTTCCCTCCAGCTCCCCTGAGTGCCAGCTGTGTTCCCCAGGGGACCCCCGGTCCTAGACTTCTGCTTCCCCAGCTGTGAATGAGCGTCTCTGTCCATCCTGCCCCTCAGCTCTGCAGGTCTGGAGTCCAGGCCAGAGCTTCCTGTCCCACTCACCACATGTCTGGGGCCCCCCTAGAGGCCTCCTGGGGGCAACAGAGAGCAGAACCAGCTCACTGGCCAATGCAGTCGCCAGCTGTGTGACCTTGAGCTGACCACTTAACCTCTCTGAGCCTCGCTTTTCCTATCTGCGAAGCAGAGAGCTGGCTGCCGTGCTCTGAGCTCACGTCGGAGCTGAGTGCTGTGCAGGGCTCTCTCCACTGTGTCCTGGAATCCTTACAACACCCTGTGGAGTGGCCGCTGCATTCCTGTTTCGTTAGCAGGAAATGGAGATGCCAAGAGACTAAGCACCTGGCCCAGGTCGCCGCTGTGAGTCAGGGTAGTCAGCATCTGAAGTCAGATCGGTGGAACCAGGAGGCCCAGTGAGGCTGCTGGTGACACAGCCCCGTGTCAGTCCCGTGAGCAGATACATCATGGGTGTAACGCTGGGGTTGTCACTGTGCCACGTACCAGGAGGGCCCAGGTACACACGAGAGCAAAGAGAGGGGACGGCCCCAGTCCTAGGGCCAGGTCTCCAGGTGCAAGCTGAGGGTGAGTTCCTTTGGGGGAGAGGAAGTGCTCCAGGTGGGAGTGCCAAGCTTACGAAGGCCTGGGGAGGGAAGGAGCCCAGTGAGGCCCTGGGACCGCAGGGAGACCCCCGTGGCTGTGGAGGGCAGTGAGAGCCAGTGGGGCAGAGACGGAGCTGGGGTGGTGGCAGGGGCGGAGCCTGGGAAAGGGTCAGGTCCACATTCTAAGAGCAGAGGAAACCACTGAAGAAGTTTAAGCAGAGCGAAGACCCGTGTGGCCGCCTGCAGGCAGGTAAGGGTGGACGTGGCAGGGCGACCGACGTCCAGGTGGGAGGTGACAGCAGCTGGGACCAGAGGATTGGGGGTGGCCGTGGAACACTGCATGGGAAACGCCTTCTTAAGAGTCTGGCCTGGGTTCGGGGTGAAGGGAGATTTGCTCACTGAGCCGGGAAACACGAGGAAGGTAGCAGGTGTGGGCCAGAGACAAGGGCTGTTGTCCTGCCTGAGCGCTAGCCCTTATCACACCCTAACATCTACTACCCTTTTGGAATAGATTACAGTGGGAGGGCTTTACCGGGGAGGCTGCATTGGCTGGCGGGGGAGGGAGGAAGGGGGCGGCCAGAAGGGGACCTTCTCAAGGAGGTGGCCACCACGGGCGCCTGGAGCAGTCCCACCAGGGCACTTGGGGAGCCAGTGTAGGACACCCTACATGGTGGGTCACCCCACGGGAGAGCAAGGCTGCTGTCCTACACCTGCTCTGTCCATCATGGGTTGACAGCTGCTGCAGGGGACACAAATACCCCAGCACTTCTGCCCTGTGCCCAAAGAGCCCTGTGCCAATGGATGCCATAGTGGTGGGTGTGGTTGGAAGCGGAGCTGCAGCAATGCCAAGACCCCAGGGGCTGTGGACAGGGCTGGGGAGGGCACCGGCGGCGTCTGCTGCACCGACACTGTCACTGTCATTGGTTTCTTTCACTGGCATCCATCTCCCTCTCGTGCTCAGTCCCTGCAAGGATGGAGAGCTCAGGCACTCTGTCCCAGGAGGCTCCCCACTGACCCCAGAGGGCAGCCCAGAGTCGGCAGAGGAGGCTGAGGGGCCCAGCCCCCATGTTGGTGCTGTTTCTGAGGCATTTTTATTCCTTTTCATTGACTTCTCTGTTTTTTTTTTAATCTAACAACTTGATACATATTTATTTCCATCCAAGAGCTTGGTAATCTCTCCTTTCAGTCAATGCATTATAAATGGTGAGCACGCACATTTATTTATTTATTTATTTATTTAATTGAAAACCAGAATTACAGAGAGGCAGAGGAAGAGGCAGAGAGAGGGAGGTCTTCCATCTGCTAGCTCACTCACCAAAATGGCCACAATGGCCAGAGCTGAGCCAATCCAAAGTCAGGAGCCAGGAGCCCCTTCCAGGTCTCCCAAGCAGGTACAGGGGCCCAAGGACTTGGGCCATCTTCTACTGCTTTCCCAGGCCATAGCAGAGAACTGGATCAGAAGTGGAGCAGCTGGGACTCGAACCAACGCCCAAATGGCATGCTGGCACTGCAGGCCATGGCTTTACCTGCTACGCCACAGTGCTGCTGCCCCCCATCCAATTTTTTTTTTTTTTTTTTGCAAACTGTTGTTGGTATGTTTTTTCCTATTTTAAAAACATCCATTTTTACTCATTAAAAAGGCAGACTGGGAGAAAAAGATCTTCTATCCACTGGTTCACTCCCCATTTTCCCACAACAGCAAGGGCTGGGCCAAGCCAAGACCAGGAGCCAGGAACTCCATCCGGGTCTCCCACATAGTGGCAGGGACTCAAGTACTTGGGCCATCACTTGCCACCTCCCAGGTGCATTGGCAGGGACCTGGACAGAAACAGAGGTGGGACTCCATCCCAGACACTCTGCTATGGGATGTGGGCCTCCCAAGTGCTTGCTAAATAGGCATTTTTAAAAGATTTGTTGGGGGCCGGTGCCGCAGCTCACTAGGCTAATCCTCCACCTGCGGTGCTGGCACCCCGGGTTCTAGTCCCAGTCGGGGTGCCAGATTCTGTCCTGGTTGCTCCTCTTCCGGTCCAGCTCTCTGCTGTGGCCCGGGAAGGCAGTGGAGGATGGCCCAAGTGTTTGGGCCCTGCACCCGCATGGGAGACCAGGAGGAAGCACCTGGCTCCTGGCTTCGGATCGGCTGTAGCTGCCACTTGGGGGGTAAACCAACGGAAAAAGGAAGACCTTTCTCTCTGTCTCTCTCTCTCTCACTGTCTAACTCTGACTGTCAAAAAATAAAAAATAAAAAGATTTATTGGGGCTGGTGCTGTAGAGCAGTGGGTTAAAGCCCTGGCCTGAAGCGCCGGCATCCCATATGGGTGCTGGTTCTAGTTCCGGCTGCTCCACTTTCAATCCAGCTCTCTGCTATGGCCTGGGAAAGCAGTAGACGACCCGGAGGAAGCTCCTGGCTCCTGGCTTCGGAACAGCGTAGCTCCAGCCGTTGCGGCCATCTGGGGAGTGAACCAGACCTCTCTCTGACTCTCCCTCTCTCTGTAGCTCTGTCTTTCAAATAAATAAAATAAATTTAAAAATAAAAAATTTATTTATTTATTTGAAATACTGAGTTACAAAGAAGCAGAGGCAGAGAGAGAGGTCTTCCATTCACTGGTTCACTCCCCAAGTGGCCGCAGCAGCTGGAACTGTCCTGATCCAAAGCCAGGAGCCAGCAGCTTCTTCTGGGTCTCCCACACAGGTGCAGGGGCCCAAGGACTTGGGCCATCTTCTACTGCTTTCCCAGGGCATAGCAGAGAGCTGGATCAGAAGTGGAGCAGGCCGGCGCCGTGGCTCAATAGGCTAATCCTCCACCTAGCGGCGCCGGCACACCGGGTTCTAGTCCCGGTCGGAACGCCGGATTCTGTCCCAGTTGCCCCTCTTCCAGGGCCAGCTCTCTGCTGTGGCCAGGGAGTGCAGTGGAGGATGGCCCAAGAGCTTGGGCCCTGCACCCCATGGGAGACCAGGGTAAGTACCTGGTTCCTGCCATCGGATCAGCGCGGTGCGCCGGCCACGGCAGCCATTGGAGGGTGAACCAACGGCAAAGGAAGACCTTTCTCTCTGTCTCTCTCTCTCACTGTCCACTCTGCCTGTCAAATAAATAAATAAAAATTAAAAAAAAAAAGTGGAGCAGCTGGGACTCAAAACATACCATATGGGATGCTGGCACTGCAGGTGGCAGCTTTTCCTGCTATGCCACAGGGCCAGCCCCAGAATTTATCTTTTTAACTACCCACCTGGCTAAGCTGTCTTATTATTTCTGGGAATGTTCAATTAATTCCTGGGTTTTCAGGTAAAAAAATATACATAAATATAAAAACATACACATCTCAGTGTGTGCGTATGTGTGTGTGTGTATAATCTATAAATACATTACATGCATGTATGCTCTACAAATGATGGTGACGGTTTTTGTCTCCTTATTTTTATCTCCTAATTTCCTGTAGTTATAATTCTGATTTTATCTTCCCAGTTATAATAATTAGGACTTTCACAAAAATATGTTAAATAATGGTGATGACAGTGGTCTTAGGTTCTTTGAATTACCTTTCATGTAATAGTTTTTAACTATTAAGCATAAGGGAGACTATTGTGTCAGTTTTTTAAATCACATTTAAAATTTTATTTATACTCCAATTTTACTAATATTGAATACACTAATAACCAAGGGCAGTAGTGTTGAGAAAATTATAGGAAACCAATAAAAACCCTACTTCTCCTCAAAAATTTCTAGCCTAGCTGATTTGGTAGTAAATTCTTACAAATCATCGAACAGCAGATGATTCTAGCACTTAGAAAAAGGAAAACCTGCCCAAGTCTTTCTATACAATGTAATCTGGAAACTAAGCATTATGAAGGAAACTGTGTCAGTTAGGTTTGAAAGATAACAAACAATCCCCAAACTTAAAGCAACCACCATTTACTCAACTTAAGATGTCGAGGTTCCGGGGCTTGTGCTGGGCTCAGCTTGGTGGTTCTGCTGCTGCTCTTGGCTGGGCTCAGCTGGGTGATTCTGCTGCCGCTCTTGGCTGGGCTCAGCTGGGTGATTCTGCTGCCGCTCTTGGCTGGGCTCGGCTGTGCATCTGCAGTGCAGTAGGGTAGGCAGCTCTGCTTCTGGGAACCAGATGACTGTCAGTCAAACTGGGCCACGAGTGTCTCATCACCCAGCTGGCTGGCCTATGCTTGCTCACGTGGCAAATCAGAGTCCCAGGAGCGGCAGAAGGCAGGCCCCACTGTGCAAGCACTTTTCAAGTCTGCTGGCATCAACTCTGCCCCTGTTCTGTTGGCAAAAGCAAGTTCCAAGGCCAAGCCCCACAACACTGTGGGAGGGCTCTATTCAAAGGCAGAGACACAAGGAGGTTTGGACAAAATGGGGCCATTCCTACTATGGCATATGAACCTATGTCTAAACTTCCTAATAACTAGCTTAGTAAATATGAATCCGAAGACACTATAAACAAGTAGCGTTCATTCAAGGATACAAAGATGATTAAGACATTCTGTACTGTGCTGGATTAAAATCAGGGGCTTTAGGGGCTTCTTTCTAGACTTCATTCTGTCTCTCTGTTGTCAGTTGTGCTGATGTGAGCTGGAGGCCCAGGGAGGAGAAATGCGCTAGCCAAGGGCACACAGCCATGTGGCTGAGGAGCCGGGATACAGTCTTGCCTCCACACTCTGAGAGTGCTCCCAGAAATGAGCCCCTGGTGGCTTCCCCAGCGTCTGATCAGCCACCCTCATCCACACAAGGCCCTTGAGTGCATGCCTCCCTGCCCCAGGCCCCTGCAGCCTGTCTCCTCTGTGGCACCCCTCCCCAGCGTTGCCTGTGTCTTGGATCTTCCAGGCCTACAAGAGGAAGACCGAAGCAGCAAAGAAGGAGTATCTGAAGGCTCTGGCGGCCTACAGGGCTAGCCTGGTCTCCAAGGTAACGGAATCCCTGAGCACAGCTTCGATAAGCCAGGGGCCCCTGGGGGAGGCAGCAAGAAGAGAGGCCCTCAGGAGTGGGCAGCAGCCTGGACCTTGGAAAGGAGGGGTGAGACCGACATGGCCAGGTCTGCAGCACACCTGCCATGTGCCAGGCTCGTGCCGGCCTCTTTATGTGCAATGAAATGCCATCCAGTTCTTCCAGGAAGGGCCCAGCACTCGGAGGGGGCAGGCAGCATGCCTGACGTTATCCAGTTTGTTCGGTGCCTGCACTCGCACTCAAACTTGGTTTCACCAGTCTTTGCACCTGCCCACACCATCTTTCCCCACGGTCAACACCAGCAGTGCAGGGGGCTGGATGGCCCAGCAGAGAGAGGGCTGCTATGGAGAAGATGGCATCAGGGGGGTGGCAAAGGGCACAGTTCTGAGAAGACCTCGTGCAAAGGCATGGGAGCCGGGGCAGGGCTTCAGCGGGTGATGGCTCTGCCGGCTGGTGCTGGCTTCACTGCTGGCCAAGGACCACAGGAGTCCCCCCTGGGTGGGGGTAACAGCAGGGGGAGGTGTCTAGTGAGGTCCAAGTGCATGCCAGGGATTCTGCACAGTTCCCTGGTCAGTCCACACTGCTCCCCTAAGGGCCTAAAGAGCCAGCCCAGGCTGTGTCGGGGGTTGCAAAGCCCCTGGCCTCACAGCCCACATTCTTGCCCGCTCTCCTCCAGAGTGATGGGTCCTCTCTCCTTCCAGAGCCCCCCGGAGCAGAGCGAGAGCAAGAGCACGCAGGCAAACCCGCCAGCCAAGATGCTGCCCCCGAAGCAGCCCATGTACGCCATGCCAGGCCTCGCCTCCTTCCTCACGCCCTCGGACCTGCAGGCCTTCCGCAGCGGGGCCTCTCCCGCCACCCTCGCCCGGACACTGGGCTCCAAGTCGCTGCTGCCAGGCCTCAGCGCGTCCCCACCGCCGCCACCCGCCTTCCCGCTCAGCCCTTCCCTGCATCAGCAGCTGCCACTGCCTCCGCACGCACAGGGCGCCCTCCTCAGTCCCTCTGTCAGCATGTCCCCTGCCCCCCAGCCCTCTGTCCTGCCCACCCCCATGGCACTGCAGGTGCAGCTGGCAATGAGCCCCTCGCCTCCAGGGCCACAGGTGAGCAGAGCAGAGGAGGGGTGAGTCCTTCTGGGATCCCTGGTGGAGACGGGAGGTGGCTTGGGATCTGGAACACTGGCCCTGCCACTCACCAGCTGTGTGACTGCAGCCTTGGCACCCTACCTCTCTGTGCCTCAACTTCCCCATCTCTGAAATCACCTTGGCTCATCCGAGGCCCCAGCAGCAGTGAAGAGTTCACGAGCTCCAGAGCCTGGCATATTCCAGGGCCTCCTCTTATGCCCAGTCCACCTTGGCTCCCCGCCCCAAGAGGAAGGTGTGGGCATTGGCCCCAGCCCCCTGCTCTCTCCTCCAACCCCACAATTGTTTCATAGAGACAATTCCAAGGCGCACACCACCCTGGGAGTTCATTCAGCCTAATGGCCCCATTTTATAGATTGAGGAACTGAGGCCCAGGAAAGGAAAGGCTGTGACAACAATGTCACCCACCCCCAGTCATCTTAGACAATAGCTGAATTGTTTGGGCAGGTGTCTCATGGGGAACGGGAAGAAGCGCTGGGGGGCAGAGAGGCAGAGGGGACTCTGTGGGCCCCCAGCGGACGTGTCCATCTGCAGAGCGCCCGAGACAGCCCCCACCCCCTTCTGCCTTCCCTCGTTCACCGTCTCCTCCTTCCCCTCCCCAGGACTTCCCTCACATCTCCGAGTTCCCCAGCGGCTCCGGGTCCCGCTCACCGGGCCCATCCAACCCCCCAAGCAGTGGGGACTGGGACAGCAGTTACCGGAGCGGGGAGTGCAGCACCAGCACCTGCAGGTCAGTCCCCGGCCTCCGTCCCAGCTCCGGGAGCGTGGGGAACAGAGATGACAAAGTGGTCGACAACGCTAAGGGGGACGCGGAAAGGGGACCCCCGGGTCTTCCAGAGGCTTCGTCCCGCTGGGAAACCAAGGCTGCCCGTCAGGCTGCGTTCCCCCTTCCCTCCTGGGTTTCCCACCTCCCTGGGACAGTCGCAGGTGGGTCGTTGGCCAGGTTCCCGGGGCAGAGCCCTAGTGACAGGGGCCGGGTGCCTCTGCCATGGGTCGCGGGGTTTGTGGGAGAAAGGACACAGAGGCAGGGCGGGGCAGGGTCGTGGCTCCAGCTGGAGACTCACTGACCCCCCATGGGAGCCCTGAGGTACCCCAGAGCAGGCCCCGCCTGGAGGTCGGGAGCTGGCTGTGTCTGCCCTGCGTCAGCCAGCCCTGACGCAGCTCTGGGCTGTCCCCAGGGTGTGCCCCCCCCCCCCCGGCAGGGCAGCCCCACTGAGAGAAGGGGACAGCTGGGGGCACAGGAAAGGGGGCCAGGGGGAGGGGCGACTGCAGCCCTCGTGGCCCAGCATCCTCTTAACACACGGGCTCCAAGGTCACCCTGGTCCTTTTCCCGTCCTGCACCCTTCACCTGCCCCTCCTCTCGGAAGCCCTCCTGGGTCCGCGCCACACCAGCTCAAGGAAGAGCGCCCTTTCCTGTTAGCCAGCAGAGCGGGCGCACCTGCTCCACATCCTGCCAGGCTGGCTTCTGCTCCCTGGGCCGCGGAGTCCAGGGCCACACCTGGGGAGCCGAGCCCTCAGCCGCTGTCCCCACGGCAGCTCCACACCGGGGAGGGCAAGCACTGATGTGTGGTGGCCAAGAGGCCAGAGAGCGCCAGCTGCCCCCAGCCCCGGCGAGCAGAGCTTCCAGGGGGTGGGTGGGCACAGCTCAGCAAAATCCCGTTCCCCACCCGTTCCCTTCTCTCTGCCTTCCCAGAAGTCAGCGAATGGGGGCAGATAGAAGGTGCTTTTTTTTGTTAATTTATTTGAGAGAGAAAGCGCGTGTGCAAGAATTCCCATCCGCTGGGGAGCTGGGGAATCCACCCAGGCTCTTCCACGGGAGTGGTAGGGCCCCCTGTACTTGAGCCAGCACCTGCTGTCTCCCAGGGTGTGCAATGAGCAGATTTTGGGAATTGGGAGCAGAGCTGGGGCTTGAACCCAGACCATGCAATATGGGATGTGGGCATGACAAGCGGCATCTTAACCTCTACACCAGACACCCAGCCCACGAGGGATGGTCTCTAGTGGCCGTCACCAGTGCCCAGCTTCCTGGGGCAGGCCCTTCGTATCCCACGTGGGACTCAGCCCCTGTTTTAAACACACAGAAAGCGCCTGCCCCCTGTAGTTCTGTTTGGAATGGACGGATGAAGACATGACGATCCCCAGCTGGCCTGGGCACGGGCGCTGCTGCAATGGGCTTCTAGGACAAGCCCCCTGCCGCTCTGCCCCAGGCTTGGGGATGAGGAATCCCCGCTGTGGTTCCAGGAAGGGTGTCCGGTTCTCCGTGGTGGGTCGTTGGGGTCGGGAGTGCGGGGGACAGCCACAGGGATCCCCAGTGGGGCAGAGAATTGGGTCCTCACGCACGCTCCCTGGACTGGGCTCCTGGTGGGCACCTGGTGGGCTCGCAGCTGCTCTGACAGCCCCTCCTCTCTCCCCCCCACAGCCTGCTGCCCAGGGACAAATCGCTCTACCTCACCTAATCCTGCCTCCTCTCCCTGAGGCTCGCTGGAAGGGCACTGCTCGGCGCCTGAAGGGCTGAGCGCAGGAAAGAGGCCTTGGCAGGAGGCGGGTGACGGCCAGACAGAGCAGTGACACGCCAGTGCCCGGGGCTCAGTCTCTCCCTCAACTCCCAGCAGCCCCTGCTGCTCACCTGCTTGCTCCGGGGAACCGCGGACCCCACCTCTCGCCCCGCACACGGCCCCCTAGGTCTGGACGTCTGGCCCCAGCCCCAGCTCACGCGGGCTGCCCTGGCAGGGCCGCCGCCAACAGAAACCCAGCCCTGGGCGCCCGGCCCAGCCGCAGGGGTGCAGTTACGGTTTTCCGGTGTGGACTGAAGTTCCAAGAGCCTCGCTGTGGGCCCCGTGTGCGTAGCTGACTAAATGTGTTAGAACCGTGCCGAGACATCTGTGAGGTTATTTTGTTGGGGGGAAATGTCGTTTCCTGTATGGTCAGAAGCATTTTCTATGCCCCTAGCACCTTCTTTCTTAAGTTGTCTCTGAAGGGACTGGCTGTCTAGCGTTTCGTCGTCTACACAGCGAGCACCCGAGCTGCTGGCCACACGTGTGGACGGTGCTCCTGGTTCCAAGCCGACGTCCACGGATGTGCGATGGCCAGCCACGACTGTCGTCTATTTCCAATGAAAACTGGAGGCCACTGTTGTGGTTTGTCCTGACGTGCGTGTGGCCCAGGGGTCGCTTGGGTTTCGGTTCCTGGCTCTGTCTGTGGCTGTCTCCCACCCTGGCGGACATCCATCCGGGTGCCCAGTGCTTCTCTCAGATCTCTTTGTAATAAAACTCCAGAAACAAGCCTGTGACTTCTTGACCGTTGTAGGCTGGGCCTCTCAGAGTGGGTTTGGTGCTGGCTGTGCCAGGATGGAGCCCCTCATGTGGGCGGGCTCGGGTAAAAGCCCCGCCTGGGGGCCGGCACTGTGGCGTAGTGGGTAAAGCCACCACCTGCAGCACCGGCATCCCATATGGGCACTGGTTCGAGACCCGGCTGCTCCACTTCCAATCCAGCTCTCTGCTATGGACTGGTAAAGCAGTAGAAGATGGCCCAAGTCCTTGAGCCCCCCTGCACCTGCGTGGGAGACCTGGAAGAAGCTCCTGGCTCCTGGCTTCAGACTGGCTCAGCTCAGGTAGTTGCAGCCATCTGGGGAGTGAACCAGTAGATCGAAGACCCCTCTCTCTCTCTCTCTCTCTCTCTCTCTCTCTCTGCCTCTGCCTCTCTGTAACTCTGCCCTTCAAATAAATAAATAAATCTTAAAAAAAAAAAAAAAAAAAAGCCCCGCCTGCCCCGTGCCAGCCCAGGGAGCTCTGTGCGGGCGGCAGGATCTCCCTGACCTCAGTGTGGCCGTCTAAGGAGGTGAGAACGAAGTTGAGCCCAGAGGCAGTCAGTATCTATAGATGGGCGCAGGGTGCCGCCCCCAACAGCGCGGCTTGAATCTGTCCCTGCAGGAACAGAAAAGTCTCAGCAAAATCCCTCCTGCCCAGAGGGGGAACCCCAATATGAGGATGCACAATCCCATGTTCTGCTTTCGTATGAAACGCAGCTGATGCATTGTGTGAAAGCAAACACGGTACGGGGACAGCGGGGAAGGAGCGGAGTGACAATGGAGCAGACCCAGGTGTGCCTGTGGCGAGGGAAAGGGGGTACGGGTGTGCCGGCCTGGGGCTCTCATCAGCCGGTGGCAGGGAGAGGCCCCCCCACCGTTCTTGTCGGCGGGGGTGGGGAGTGGGGAGAGCCCAGGGGACCCTGAGTGCAGGCAGCTGCCCGGACGAGCTCTCTGCACTTCCTTCCCCAGATCTTGGGTGGTGGAAAGGAACAAGTAACAGTCTGGCGACGGCTTTCACTGCGGGCACAAAACGGCGGCCTGGGGCCCAGCAGTAGCTTGGAGGCTGCACCGTTGCCGCTGTGACACCGCTGTCGACACGGCAGGTGCTCCCAGACCCACGGGCCAGACCGAGGAGCACCGCCCTCCTCCACTTTTGACAGCTCTCGGGGTCTCTGCTGCAGCCGGAAGAAGCTCTATCCTTGCAGATGCCAGTGGGTGGGCTGGGAGCTGTGGGGGCCGATTCCTCCGTGGAAAAGGAAAGAACCATAAGCAAAAAGCAGCCCGGGTCCCCTTGGCAGTGCCGACGTGGAGCTGGAGCAGCTCGAAGGGCAGAGGTTCCTGGTCAGTCCCCCGGCGGGGCGACTTCGTCTCGCGTTCAGCTTTTGCTTTTGCCTTGGAGGGGACAGCGTCACGGGGTTGCGTTCAGCCCCAAGGAGCAGGGTGTGAGGCCGTCAGGCTCCTCTTCCGAGCAGACCCCTGCCCCTCGCTGCTGGGCCAGCGGCTCAGGGGTCGCATGGAAGTGTCCCCCACGCCCAGCTGGCATCGCGGCTGCTCTGCGCCCTGAGGTCCCCAAGCAGAGTCTGCGTGCCTGCCTGCGGACACCAGGGGCGGCCACGTGGCTTCTCTGTGGCCTCGAAGGGTTGGAACAGAATTGCTGGGTCAATGGAAGGTTCAGAAAGGTGATTCCAGGGCCACGGTGGACACCCGTTGTCCCAGTCCATCCAGGCTGTCCTCACGGTGTGCAGGGTGGCTTATGGACCACAGTGACTGCCTCTCCCAGTTCTGGGAGCTGGGGCATCCAGGACCAAAGGGGCCAGCAGATCTGCTGTCTGGCAAAAGCCGCTTTCCTGATTCGTCGACGTCCATCTCCTCGCCCTATCCTCTTGTGGCAGTGGGGCAACGGGGTCCTTTTAAAGACTGATTGATTTCATTGATTTCAAACACAGAAGGATAAAGAGAGAGAGAGGGAGCTATCACCACTGGCTCACTCCCCATTGGCCACCGCATCCAGGACTGGGCCAGGCCGAAGCCAGGAGCCAGGAGCCAGGAGCTTCTTCTGGATCTCCCACGTGGGTGCAGGGGCCCAAGCACGTGGCCCATCTTCCGCTGCTTTCCCAGGTGCGTTAGTACGGAGCTGGATCAGAAGTGGAGCAGCCAAGACTGGAACCAATGCTCTGTTATGACGTCCTGGGATCACAAGTGGTGGCTTCTCCCGCTGCACCACCACGCCTGCCCCTCCGGAGTCTTACGAGGGCACAGAACCAAGTCATGAGGCCTCCACCCTCACGGCCTTACCATCTCCCCGCGGCCCCATCCCCAAAATCATCACACTGGGGGCAAGGACCTTAACAGCGAGTATGGGAGCCACAGACAGCAGCAGGCATGGTGGGTTCTGTAACCCACCCAGGTCTCTGCTACTGGCCCTGAGTGTTGCCCTCCTGATTTACAGCTGCCCATGGTCCAGTCATTGCCCCTGGTCACCACACAATGGTGACCTATGATGGAGAAGCCCCCTGATTGATGCCATTCACACTCTGGCGCCCCACGGGGTGGGCCCGACGCAGGTCTCCGGCTGCAGCGTCCCCCTGGCCCACGGCGCCCTGCTCTGGTGCCTTCCGCCCCTTCTGTGCGTACTCACTCACTAAGTGACTGAATAATGAGTCATAGCTGTAAGCCAGGACCCTATCTGGGCCTCTGTCTGAGTCTGGGAAGTGGACCTGGAGCCCCACAATGACGTTGCACACTAGGTCACTGCCTCCAGTCCTACCTGCAGGTGCAAGGCCCTCAGCCCCTGGCCACTCCCCATCTTGTGCTCCTGTTTATACCACGAAGTCTCGTGCTAATGATGAACGGAGTAGCGATGAAGACTTGATCCACTGTGGGGTTCTGTGCCCTCCTAAGACTCCGGAGGGGCAGGCGTGGTGGTGCAGCGGGAGAAGCCACCACTTGTGATCCCAGCACGTCATAACAGAGCATTGGTTCCAGTCTTGGCTGCTCCACTTCTGATCCAGCTCTGTACTAACGCACCTGGGAAAGCAGCGGAAGATGGGCCACATGCTTGGGCCCCTGCACCCAAGTGGGAGACCTGGAAGAAGCTCCTGGCTCCTGGCTTTGGCCTGGCCCAGCCCTGGATGCGGTGGCCAATGGGGAGTGAGCCAGTGGTGATAGCTCCCTCTCTCTCTCTTTATCCTTCTGCATTTGAAATCAATGAAATCAATCAGCCCAGAGAGGGGTCTGTAGGTCGCTGGGGTGCACCCCCTCCAGGGCTTGCTTAGGAAGCTGTGCTGGGCCCAGTGTGCTCTGTCTGCACTTCCTGGCTCACCACATGATGCGCCTTCCACCTGCTGCTGTCGGAGGCCAGACGAATGGCGCCATCCACTTTGGCCATGAGCTGAAGCAAACCTCGTTCCTTTGCACCTAGTTTTCCTCAAGTATTTTAATCATAGAACAGAAAGCTCAGACACCCACCCAAGCCTCACGCCAGGGCTTCCTCAGATCCGGGAAGCAGCGTCCCCTGCATCTTCCCAGTCCATCCTGCAGCGACGCTGGCCCTGAGAGCCCAGCACCACTCCACACTCCAGCCCTGAGGTCTCTGCCAGGTGCGCTCCTGCCAGGTGCCAGGCCTGCTCCCCTGTGGTCTTGTCACAGGCCAGGGACTCCTGTGGGAGTGACAGCCTCAACCCTGCAGGATCAGTGTGCACCTGGCCCGCCACCCCTCAAGGCCCCGTGTCATTGCCAGCCCCTGGAGCATGTCCTGTCCCCACTGTCTACGGAGCTGGCCCCAGAACCGGCACCCCTCACCCATCCCGGTACCAAGTGCCTTCTGCAGATGTCCCCATGCACCAGTGTAGCCTTAGCAGGAGCAGCTGGGGCCATGGCCAAGGTCCCCAGATGATCCTGCTGCACACAAAGGAAGGGGCAGGAGGGCGTGGTGGGGACTGTGGCTAAGCAGAACGTGACCGCTCTGCCTACAGGCATTTAAAGTTGATGGTTAAGAAACACCGTGCCAGGGGCTGGCATTGCGGCATAGTGAGTGAAGCTGCTCGAAGCACCAGCATCCCGTATGGGTGCCGGTTCCAGCCCCAGCTGTTCCTCTGCCAGTCCAGCTCCCTGCTAATGCACCTGGAAAAGCAGCAGAAGATGGCCCAAGTGCTTGGGCCCCTGCACCCATGTGGGAGACCCAGATGAAGCTCCTGGCTCCTGGCTTTGGCCTGGCCTAACCCTGGCCCTTGCAGCCATAAGGGAGTTAACTGATTGATGGAAGATCTCTCTCTCTCGCTCGCTCTCGCTCTCGCTCTCTCTCGCTCTCTCACTCTCTCTGTAGCTCTACCTTTCAAATAAAATAAATCTTAAAAAAAAAAAAAAAAAACCACCATGCTAGCCCCAAACAAAAACCAAACACACACCTAAGTTTGCCAAAATTGCCAGGTTTTCCAGTGAAATGCACCCCAGACCATCTAGTCTGTGGTTTCCGGGGAAGACATGGTGAATGGCATGGGCTCTGCGACAGTCACACAGGCCTGATGTTGAATCTTTGCTTCTCATCTGTAAAACAATTGTGTCTCCAATCTAGAGCCGCTGTGAGAGATGTCGGTAATCAGGCTAAGCAATGAGCTGGGGTCGAGACGGAGCTGGCACTGCGTTAACAGCAGCTATTATCATTACTACTACTACTATTATTGTGGTAAATGAGGGAGTAGCCATGGTGATTATTTTTAAACAATCTTTCTTGTAGAGCAAATTGATGAGCTCACTCTCGTGTGGGGTGGTGGCTCCTCCTGGTGGTCATCATCAAGAACTGCATATGTAGCAGCTGTAAGAATGGTTAGGAGCAGGGTTGGGAGTTCCAGAGGTTCTTTTTTTTTTTCTTTTCTTTTCTTTTCTTTCTTTCTTTCTTTTTTTTTTTTTTTTTTTTTTTTGATAGAGTGGACAGTGAGAGAGAGACAGAGAGAAAGGTCTTTCTTTTCCTTCCTT